CCCCCCCCCCCCCCGGGCCCGGGGGCCAAGAACGCCGACGCCCACACCGGGGACTTCCCCGTCGGCGGTGGGTACCCGCCCAATGGGGATCGGCCGGGATGGCTCACACGACGCGCGCCTCCGCGCGGACCAGTCTTCGTGGGAAGCAACACACCGTGGTAGAGTCATGTCGCCACGCCATGCCACCGAACAGGGCCTTCTTGCCCAGCCACTCCATCCCGCCTTGCACACACTTCCATTGGGGGGATCGGCGGCGGACGGGGAGTGGACACAGTCGCTTGACCTCCTTTGGCTCTTCCTCCGGCAGGCAAGGAGGCAGTGTTCAGGGCGCCTGCCGGGGCCCGTACAAGGCACACAAGTAGATGAGAGGCATGATGTTGTTGTATATCTTTAGCTCTGGTCACCTCCATCCAGTCCCATTCGATCCCATCCGGTCGCGTTCTGTCCCCTTCGATCTCCTCACACAGACACAGAGAGAGGGAGAGAGGGAGACAGAAAGAAAGACGCACGCATGCGGGCGGGGCGCCATTTCCTCCAATGCAATGTTCGCGCCAGCAGGGAACGGAGGAGGCACCTCCCGGCCGGGTGTGCGCACCCCACCCGGCCCCCTGGGCTAGTGCCCCCTCCCAGCGTGAGGATCTGGCGGCTCCATTCCCGGCTCCAGGGCTGTCGACGCCCTTCTCCACCCTCCCCATGGCCCCAGGAGCACAGCTGCCACTGGCTGGCCAGGTGGCCCTGTGCGTCTCGCGCATGCCCCTGTCCGCATCGAGCAGTGCGTGTTACATGTCGGCTCTGGCCTACTCGGTGCGGGATGCATTGTTCCCCTTGTGTCCGCCACCACCGACTCCTGTGTATTCTTGACTTATCCCGTTGGGGGAGGGAGGGACAAAGGGTCGGCAGGCGGGGCATGCGCCGCAAAGCGGGCGGACACACGCCAAGACCAGCAGAGGGCTTCTCCCGCAACCACCAGGGAGGCGGGGGGGGGGCGGGAGGGAGGCCGAAGACCGGACGTGGTCCCAAAGTGTCCGCCTGGATATGCCCCTCGGGCCCGGGAAACAGGATGTCGCCCTGGGCCGATGGAATTGTCCCAGGAAGGTGGCCCACACGTATGGTCCTCTGCAAGCGTACATGGATGCTTGGATGCACAAGACGGCATCTGGGCCCTGGGCACATCTGCCTTGCAGGAGTGAGTTACCTCCGGTCTTGCCACGGTTTGTCGCGCTGCGGGCGGCTGCTCCGCTGGCGACCGCGAGAGATGCGCGGCCCGGGGGAGCTCAGCCTGACTCGAGTGCCTCACCTATCGGTGTCCAATTATGCCCCATTGCATGCTGGCCTGGCACAGCCACCCCACCTGGCGCGACGAGCGCATGCCATGAACCAAGAGAGGGCGCGATGCCGAGCGCCTCTCATCGGTGTCGGGAGAAATGGCCAAGGGCCGGGGGGGAGGGAGATCCTCGGGGCCGCCCCCATCCAAAAAAAAAAAGAAACGCCACCCCTCCGCATCGGGCAGCCGCCTGCCCCGTGCTTCTCCTGCCCCCGGTCGACCGTATGCTTTTGCTGACAAGCGGAACAGAACAGCGAGAGGGCGAGAAGAAGAGTGTGGAGGGAGAGGGGGGGGGGAAGGGCGGTGGAGGCACAAGGAAAAAGGGAAGGCTTTTGAGGGGAAACGATTTATTGACCAGGGATCGGGGAGGGGCGCGGAGGGTCGAGCAGCAGCGTGGGGGTCTGTGCGGCCTGCCTCAGTTCAGCCGAGGCGAACGGGAGAAGGCGGGCCGCCGGCAGGAGAACAC